TGTCGTTACCGTATTGCAATCAACGGAAGCCGACATTCAACTATTGGAAGACGGATTTCAACGGGCTCGTCCAAGCTGCAAGTCAGACCGATTGGACACTACCACAAGATGCGTCACTTGAGACTTGTCGGTCATTAATGAAGGGGAAGCTTCACTCGCTCTGTACTCGGTTCGTTCCCCTTAAGTATTCAAAAATCGGACCTGTCAAACCGCGTTGGTTTGATACAGAATATAGACAGTTAGCGCGACGGCGTCGCAAAGTTTGGGATAGATACATCAGCTCGGGTTGTGATGAAGATTTCACGGTGTACAAGGAACAACGAAACTTATGTAACACCGCAAAAATCAAGAAACGCCGGCAGTTTGAACAGGAGCTAGCATCCTCGGCCACAACTGCACCCAAAAGAATATTTGCCTACTTGAAACGTCAACTGAAACCTGGGGGTGACCTACCGGTCTTAGAGAGCTTAGACAGAAAGACGCTCATTTCAAGCGCGGAGCGCGCGGACGCCTTGGCTACGCACTTCCTCACTGTATTTTCCAGTAAACCGACGGCGGTTTCAGTACCGGCACAGGTTGCGCCAGTCTTGCTCGACAGCCTACAATGTGATGCAGTCGAAGTGTACCAGCTACTCGTCAACCTCGATGGTGCAAAGCCCCCCGGACCACCCACTAATACGCAAGTCCCTATCGATTATCATCTCACCAGCCGTGACAAACCTTTTCAATAAATCGCTCTCTGAAGGATCTGTCCCGAACGACTGGAAATGCTCGATAGTGAGACCGCTTCCCAAGGGTGGTGATCCGAGTAAAATAGAGAACTATAGACCGATCTGTTTGACTTCGGTATTATCCAAAGTGCTCGAGGTTGTGAAAAAATGTCTGCTATCGTTCTTCGAATCGATGGATGTATTGACGCCAGCGCAACACGGCTTTACGAAAGGGCGATCCTGCATCACCAACTTGATGTACGCAAACCACCAGTGGGTACGAGCTCTCAACGAACGGAAGGATGTTGACGTGGTGTACATCGACTTTAGTAAGGCGTTTGACAGAGTTAACCACGAGGTACTCCTTGGTAAACTGAGGACATACGGAATCGGTGGCATGTTACTTCAGTGGCTACACGAGTTTATTGTGGGACGAAAGTTTAGAGTACAGGTCAATGACTACCTGACAGGCTGGTTCCCATCGACTAGTGGTGTGCCTCAAGGAACTGTACTTGGGCCAGTATTATTTCTTATTCATATCAACGATCTTCCGCAGCAGCTCCAGTCACCATGTGCCCTGTTTGCAGATGATTTGAAAATCTGGAGGATCATTGAGAACCAGGACGACTGCGCTCGCCTCCAGCATGACTTAGAGCGACTGTCAACGTGGTCCACTGAAATGCAACTCCCTCTTAACGCAAGCAAGTCGGAGTTCATCAGTATCACCAGACGCCCAGCCACTCGATCATACACGTTGGACGGCCAGTTGCTACATCCCAACACATCTGTCAGAGACTTAGGAGTTCTCTCACGACATGATGAGATCACTAGAAAATACAGAAAAATTGTACCGTGCGGGACTTCGTATGCTTTGGGCATTAAAGCGCAGTTTCTCCACATGGTCCGAAGAAACCGTCGCGCGTCTATTCACCTCGCTCATTAGACCAATCCTTGAATACGGTGCCCCAGCTTATCATCCGATAACCCAATGGGAAACTGAAAAGCTGGAGAAAATACAGCATATGGCAACTAGAATGATACCGAGTCTACAAAAGCTTCCGTATGAAAAACGTTGTGAAAGGCTCGGACTCTACACACTATCCTATCGCCGAGTAAGAATTGACCTTATTATGACCCATCGGGTACTACAATTGAATCACTTCCCCATACTGCGGCCAATATTTCACCTGCGGGAACCCTGTAACACCCGAGGATACCGTTAGAAAATCAGGATCCCCAGCATGAACAAAGTATCACATCAGCTTTGTATCGAACGAAGAATCGTAAACCTAGCTCGTTCAATTTTCCGTCTCACCGGCTAAGCTAGCGTCATCGTAGGCGTGCTCCAACCGTGCGAGCGACAATCTTGTCACGCAATTACCTCAAGAGGCGGCGTTCCCTCAATTATAACAATTAGTCAACTACATCGAGTTCCTCGCCATCAAGAATCAAGGAGTCATCAAGTGGCTGGTGGGCCTACAGCAACGCTTTGCACTTTGAAGGTGCGAAGCGCATACCAAATAATGGGACCACTCTAGAGAGGCTATTCAGTGTCGACTGGGCCGCCTCAAAATCGCTAAACAGCAAGACAATATCGTCCGCATAATCAAGATCAATAAGTCTTTCACCAGGCAACACCTCAACACTCGCATTGTGAGACTCCGCAAGAGAACTCTCTATGATGGAGTCCACGAGGAAACTGAACAAATAGGTGGG